CCTTTGAATAAACATAATAATTGTCAAGAGCACCTATTGCTGTCTGACTGTCAGTAAAGATGGTGATCTTTTTCTCAGTCACATTGGTTTGCAGTAGGTTTTGTACACAGTGGCAGATTGCCAGTATCTCGGATTGAAACACTGAAGCATACCTGTCAAGTGGTATAGATATTTTTTCTTTTATATCTTTGCGATAGATGCCTGCTCCAGAGCCGAAGGCTGTTAGAGAGCCATCTGTATAGCAATTTATTCCACTATTTAGTTTATGACTTCTGCTGCTATCTATCTCAACCTTATATTTTCGGTCCTGATATTCTCGGATTAGTGTGTCAGAGTGCATAGCTAGCACTCTTTCACTTCCAATCCTGTTCAGCAGTATTGTGTGTCCTCCCTGACAGGGGACTGTTGAACAGTAAGTTGACTTGCTTATCCTGTACAGTGTAATTGTTGCCCGAGTCTCCACCTCCAGCTGCAGCGGAGGCATGCCGAGCATCACCTCCATAGCAGCCGTCGGTGTCGTGCTCATTGCGCCTGTTATCATTATACAAGCAAGCCTTTGAGTGGTTCCTAATAAGGATAAGTTGGCTACAGTCTTTGCTTTGTGCCACCATAGCAAAGCTGAGTAAAGTATGATAGGTCTGACTGTCGTTGTGTACAGCCAGTATACCATTTTTGGTTTTAGTCCCCAATTCTTTCCTATCGCTCTTTTACAGGCCCATAGGCATTTGAGGGTGCATCCTTTTCCAGGCTTGTCTTTTGGCTTTCCTGACAGATTTGTGATACTCAGTAAGAGATTTCCTATAGGTATCCCAATTGCCAGATTTTTTAGAAGCATTGAACAATCTCCTCATGAGTGTTCTTTGCTTTGTTAGACTATCATTCCACCAGGACACTTTTCTGTTGGTTGTAGTTTTTTTGGCTTCATTACTGGCCAAATATGTTCTAGTCATAGCATCAGTAATTGAAGTATTTAATATTTCTAATTGCCATGTATTGTGGATAACTTTAGGGCAGCATTTGACAGCCTCCTCCAAGTTAGAACTATAGGACACCCAGTTTGTTGGCTTGGGGTCTCTATATTCCACATCATGTTGTATTCTGTCAGATATATCAAACCTGATATACCTGTGATCCGAGCATGTTTCTTCATCAGAGACATGCCAGTTATCTATAAGGTCACTAGTCAATCGAGTCGCTAGTGTTATGTCTATGATCTCAGTCCTAATTCTATTACAAAAGGTAGGCTTATTCCCCCTGTTCAGAATATCAAGATCATATTTAATAATAGTCTCTAAGAGTTTCTCACCTCTTGAGTTGGTGTTTGTGCTTCCCAGATCTCGTTGTGTGCATTAGCATCCAGGGCAGCAACAATTTCCTCCTTACTCTTTAATAGTTCATCCATTCCTTCTGCAGGTTCTGGATGTTCATATGGCAGATAAACCGCCGCTATGATTAGTGATTTGTTATACCCTTGTTGGGTATATTTGGCTGCTGCAAGATCTCTAGAACAGAATTGCCATAGAGGCAGCAGTTTTAGTTTGTTTTTAAAAAGTAGGCAGGCTCTAGGATATGTGGGTGCAGATATTATTCCATACCCATGCATATTTAGTCCTTTGATCCTGCCTTCATATAGGTAAGGTTCAAGAATTAATATTATATCAATATCATTACCTTTTATGTACTGTTGCAACACTCCACATGCCGCAATGCAGTGGTGGATGTTGATCTGCAGCAGTTTCATATGTTTTGATTGTTTATGTTCTGGAAGGTGGTTTTCCAGACGGGGCCGATGGTAGGGTTCTTCCCTCAGACTCAGTTTTCACTTTGTCTTTAGGTTTCTCACCGCCTCTCGACCTCGCTTTCGAACCACCACCAGTGTTAGATGGGTGCTGCGAGACAGAGGTCTGGCCACCTGACCGCGACAGACGCTGGGGTTCGCCTTTGTAACCAGTTTTCACTGGTTCCTTTGGCTTAGCCCCGCCTCCTGCCCCGGCCGACGGCCTCGACCCCGTCCTCGACGCACTCCTTCCCGAAGAGGAAGATTCCTTGTTCTCCCTCTCCTTTGATGTGCCTGCTTTCGGCGCTTCCTCTTTCATTTCCTCCGGAGCAGGTTTACTTCCTGATGCTAAAAACCTGAAGGTGATAACATATATCCCACAGCAGGCCTGCATTCCATGTTCAGTGAGGCTCTGGAGGCTGGTCTCCGGTATGTTAAATACTCCGAAGGATCCTCTTTCCAGAGCCTTGAAGTTAAATACGGTCCAGGTTTTGATCCCAGTAATAGATTGGTTCTGAATCTGGAGCCGAGTTAAATAATAATCAGCAGGTAGTGCCTTTCCTGGAAAGAAGGCTCCAATCCTGATAATTTTTGTAAGATCACCTGCTTCACAAGTTCGTAGGGTTAATCCTTCCTTAATTGTGATGCTCGGTGTTATGCTTTTAAAGCATTCTACCGTATGGCTGTCTATGCAGGATACAAGACATCCTCCGAGCTTAAAAAGCGCCCCGTCGAACTTTGGATGTATATCTCCGCCTATTGTGAGCTCGTCAATTTTACTAGCGATTGCTTCTTTAAGATCTTCGCATTGGTCATAAGTTAGCTGGATCTGCGGGTAGTCGACAGGAACTACCGCGACCAACTGTCCTTGCGCAACCTTTGCGTAGTTTTTGGACCTTTCAGCCTCCCTCGGTTTCTTAGCTTCCACAGCTGAGTCTCCTAGGGATTTCCTAGCTCTTTTCTCCACAGGCAGTCTTGATCTAGACCTCAACCTTTGAGGCCTCGCACTCTTAGCTGCTGGCCTACGTGGCCTCGCAAACTTAGATGCTGGCCTCTTGGATGTGTCCTTCTCATCCCCTGCCTGTGTTATTGGAGCTTTACCCACCGGCGCGGCAGCTTCGTTTGCCAGGCCTTTTGGGGCCCTTGCATCCTCCACTGCCTGCCTTTGAGTAGGCTCCAATTCACTAGATGTTTGCCCTTGATCTAAGGCCTCCCTTTCACGACTCTCTGCCTTGTCTGCCAGGCCTTTTGGGGTCCTTGCTTCCTCGGCAGAGTTCTCTAAAGGTGGCCTTTTCTCATCTTCTGGGCTTGATAGTTGTTGGGCCTTTGCCCTCCTCCTAAGGCGCCTCTTCGCATTCCTTATCTTCCTCCACGTGGCAGGCCTCGAGTCTTCCGACTCGTGGTCCCCGCACTCCGTGTGGTCGAGTCCAGAATGCGATCGGCTTCTAACCATTTCTGGCTTGTTACTTTCTTCCACATCCATATACTCTTCTGGATGGGCTGCACCATTGCACAAGCCACCTCCATCAATTCCTTCTCCTTAAGGTCTGTTTGGACGTGGAGTGTTCCGACATCTTCTGTTAGGGTTTTTAGTAATTCCCCTATCAGAGTTTCATCAATCTTATCTGAGGTGACCTCAGATAAGTTTAAAAGCTCCTCGGAGGACAAGTCCTCCTCGGATACCGACGATTTTTTGTTTTTGTTTTGTTTTAAAATTGGACATTTTGGTTCCCACGAGTATGGGGGTCAATGGAACTGCAGGTACTACCCCCTCTCCCTGCAGCCGGCTACTTGAAATGGGGTGTCGCCCGGTTCCCCAAGTGAGTCGATAAAAGACAGTATATTTTTACCCACCCTCTGCCACTCAGCCTCAGCTCGTGCGCCCCGACCTAGCTTGGATGCCTAACAGGTTCCTCAGTTCCATCTCACATGTATCATCCCCATACACATGGATGGAACCAACGAACCCCGCCTCTGTCGTCCGCGAGTCCCATCGGACTCCCCGGGGGGCGCCACATGGAGGTGACAGTAGGCGTTGATAGGGATAAGGAGATCTGGGAACTCACAAGCAGTGGGTAGGGCACTTCACTCGATCATTCCGCAAAGAGTTGGGGAGATTCCCGCACCTATCTCCCTCTCTAGACCTCCCGTTACCCTATCCATTAGCCCCCCTCGACTTTTGACTTCATCGTCACTGTCTTCGGTCGGACAATGTATGTTTATTAATGCGATTTTAAATCAACGTCCCTGAAATATAGCTACCAAAATTCTATCACTAAAGAATTGTACGTCCCTCAAAGCGGATAGTAATCTATTCCTAATTAGAAACCCACTACCTAAATAATGATTACCGCTTCCTCCGTACCAAATAGTGTACTTTCCTTCCCTCATCGAGCCCTCCCCTGGCCAGCGAACCTCTTGCAGAGCAACGAGATCCAAATTGTACCCATTTACCTCATTCGCGACCGATTTTAGCCCCCTGCTGTGTTTAAACTCCTTACGTTCCACGTACTAATATTTAAATCCGTATATTTCAACTTGCGCCATGAATCCCCTAAAGCAGTCCCTACCCGGAGACCCGAACGGGGGACTAGTTTACTTCCGGATAATGAGCGTTTTACCTTAGGGAGATCCATGACTATTTGTGGTGTTTGGTGAACTAAAGATATGTGAGTAGGGCGTTCAATCCTACCTCACACCCTCCAGCAAGTCTGGAGGTCCCCTCCCTCCAGCAAGTCTGGAGGTCCTCTCCCTCCAGCAAGTCTGGAGGGCCCCTCATTGTTGGTCAGCGAGTCCATCGGACTTAGCCGGAAGGAACTTCCAAGGAATTTCCACCGACCATCCCACACATCCACCACCCATGGAACACTCCCCATCCGCGGTAATGAGCCTACGTGAGGGGCCCTTATTTTAAAACATTGTAGTTGTTCTTTTGAGGTTTAGTCCCAGAATAACATTATTTTTTCATTTTGTTTTATCAGCATTGCTTATAACTAGCAATTTATAATAAAATCTGAAAATATATATAATGGTAAAAGGTACTGTGCCATAAATTAAAACATTGTAATTATTCTTAGGGGATTTAGTTCCAGAATAAAATTATGTTTTCATTTAATATAATTCCTTATAAATAGCAGTTTATAATAAAATCTAAAAATAAATATAATGGTTAAAAAAAAGTTTTTAATATCTCCTAATTCCTTATTTATTCTCTATTTTATAGATATTTGCTGTGAAGTAGAACTTGATCGTTTGCAGAATTTAAACCTGTTCTTCTGGCCTGTTTTATATAAGCTTCTACCAATGTCTGGTAAAATGCAAGCAATTCACTTAGGAAATTGAACTGTTGATCAATTAAATTTTGGTGATAATGTGTTCTTAAATAAACAACTGAACAAATTAAGAATTTTTTCCTTATAATTATCATGACAACATAGTATGAAAGATTATTTTAAGTAATAAACTGTGTGAGATAATTATTATTAATTTTAAGATTTTTTATTAGTACAATCTTAGATTTAAAAAAAAAATCTGGTGAAATGCATCACATGATTTCCACCTAGCACCCTTTTAGTGGAATTTTTCGTTTGTAGTTAATAAACCTTAACAATATTAGTTTAATTATAAATGAAAACTTGAGACAATTATTATAAATTATAACAATTCTGTGCACAATATATTTTTGGTTTACAAAGTTTGGTTTACAATATATTTTTTTTTCCTGTTGCCATTACAGACCATGTAGATCTTTTACAGCCGTAACAAGCCTGCTCCATCTCTACTTGTCTTGGGCTGTTTCTTTCTATTTATCTGCATGCAGCTCTATTGCATATTTGTTGATTCTTTCTATCCATCTGCTTTTTGGCCTTCCACATGGTCTTTTGCGTTCTATTGAGGCATTAATTGTTATGTAGAGGATTCCAGATAGATTCCTACGAGCTACATGACCCACCTATCTTAACCTCTGTGCCTTCATATCATGGGATATTGATTGACCAATGTCTGTAAGCAGTTCTTTATTGGTCTTTCTTCTCCTTGTGTTAGTACTCTGATCCCAGATTGCTCCGGTAATTGTGTGGAGGATTTTTCTCTCAAATCTTTCAACAATTTTTTCTAGGTTGCTGGTTAGTGTATAGATCTCACAGCCATATATTAGAACTGCCTTTATCATAGCATTGTACACCCTTAATTTGAGATTTCTTGTGATTTTTTCAGAATTTCAATACCTTTGAAATAGAGAAGAAATCTCTGCTTGCGTTAGTTATACACTGGTCTATTTCTACCCGTTGGTCATTCATTGATGTTATTGTGGAGCCAAGGTATTTGAATTTTTCTACTCTCGGGAATGATTTTCCTCTCCACAGATCCTCTTATTTGGGGGTAGAATTTTCGGCTCATAATATATTTTGTGTTGTCTTCATTTACTTGTAGGCTAATCTGCTCTGCTTCTCTTATCAGAGTCTTAGCAAGTTTCTAGATGTCAATCTCACCAACTTACCAGTAATTCTCAGTTCAGTCATTTTTTTTTTTTTTTGTTCTTCCCTACCTCGCCTTTTAGGCTATATGGGATTTTCCTAGGCCGGAGGGTGAGGACAGGGAATTTAAAATCCCCTCCGCCACCGGGATGCGAACTCATACTTTTTTAATCTTCTCAAATCTCTTATCCGGTTGGCAGGCAACTCGCGGTGCAGTGCACAGGCTTTAGCCCATTCGGCCACCCCGCCCCCTATCTCAGTTCAGTCATGATTTTCCAAAGACAGCTCCTGTTCACAGAATCATAGTCTGATTTGAAATCAACAAATAGGGCGTGTATGTCTTGAGCTACTTCCCATCGTTTTTCGAGTACTTGTTTTAGGATAAAGATCTGGTTTAGGGTGCTCCTCCCTTTTCTGAATCCAGCTTGGTGGTCGCTTATTATATTTAAGTAATACGGATATATCTGGTTTAGCAGGATATTGATCATTATCTTGTAGGCAACTGGAAGGATTGCTATACCTCTGTTTGTCCTGGAGCCAGGGCCAAAAATCGACCTGATAGCTGGCAAAGGTTTGATTGAAAATTACTATGTTATTCTGAGTAAAAAGAACTTTGTCTGCCGTTCCAGAGCCGCTGCTTTCAAATTTGATGGCTGATTTAAAGAATATTAGGACAGCAATTTGAGGATCTAAATGGGAAATACATTGAAAAAATGTGGGAAAAGTTTTTATTTTTTTAACTTGTATATATGGGGTTAGATGTGCTAAAAACAAAATTTCTAACACGGGCCATCAAGGGAAAACTTTTTACAGCCAAAAAGTCAGATTTTTTGGACTCCTAAACTATGCATCAAAGCGAAAAATGTACTTTTTAATAAATTAAAGAATTTCAAATGTGCAGTCTCCTATTTCTATCTGAGCTTCCTCCTAATCCATTCCTTGAGGACCTGCTCTCATATATTTCATTTTTGCTCCATTAACAGTCAGTCCTACTCTTTGTGCTGCTCCTTTAAGTGCGAAAAACTCTTCCTTCATGGATGTAATACTTCTCCCCATTATAACTAGATCGTCAGCGAAACCAAGAATCTGGGCTGATCTGTTAAATAAGGTTCCTCCCATCTGTACACCCGAGCCTCTGACTGCACATTCCAAGGCCATATTAAACAAGAAACAGGCAATGCTGTCACCCTGCCTGAGGCCTTTATAAGTTTCAAATTCTCTAGAGAAGCCACCGCCCTCCATAACAGTACACTGCACCCTCATGGTCATTTTTATTAAGTCCACTAATTTTGAGGGTGTTCACAGTTCTAGCAGATTTTTGTAGATCTCCCTAATAACATTATCATAGGCCTGCAGGAAATCAATAAAGAGATGGTATGTGGTAATACTGTACTCTCTGGCCTTCTCTCTGATTGTTCTTAATATAAATATTTGATCCACAATTTCTCTACCTCTGGTGAACTCAGCTTGGTACAAACCAATTTCTCTTTCTGCAATTAGACGGAGTCTCTGATACAGCACCCTTGATAATACTTTATAGCCATTGGAAAGCAGAGATATCCCTCGGTAGTTCCTACACTCTAGTATGTTTCCTTTCTTATGTACTGGACAGATGACTGTTTTGTTGTTTTATACCACTCTTCAGACATTCATTCTCTTTGTCAAATATCCATAATGAAATCATACAAAAATCACTCAACTTCCGCTCCCCCATATTTCAAGCTCTGTCGATACTGTCTGCTCCTGGGGACTTATTGTTTTTAAGGTGAACTTCTTCAAAATCTGGTGGCTCGAGGTCTCCCTCCAGGATATCTTGCATATGCTCAGCCTGAACTTCATCATTTTCATTTAAGAGACCATAGTAATAGTCTCTCCATCGCTCCAGCACCTTCTCATCATTCAGCAGTGTGCCATCAGCATCCCTGCACACTTGCGGCTTACAGCTATTATTAACCCCCTGATTGAATTTTCTGATTTCATTGAGGCTTTTGAGCTGTTCTATTTCGTCTAGTTGATAACGTTCCCATTTGCTTTTCTTCCACTGATGTAATCTTTTTTTTCACTGTAAAAAACATAATATTTTTAAACAGTTTACTGTATTTGTTTAATGAAAGGAACTATTTAAATTAAACAGATTCCTACTAAACACCTCATCACTACTTCTTACATCTTGTATTGAGCTCTGATGTCTCTTGTATACCAGGGCATGGTCAATTTGGTTTTTTGCTCCTTTGGGGCTAATCCAGGTATACTTGTGGATATCCTTATACAGGAACATTGTATTGCTGATGACTAAACCTAAGCTGCTGCCAGATTGATACACCTCACTCCATTGTCATTGCTTTTTTTCGTGAAGGTTTAGGCTTTTGATAATGGGCCTGAATTGGACTTCAACACACATGCTCAACTTAAAATATAAGAGCTCACTTAACTAACAATGTGGCCATTTATATGTACTAGTGAATAAGAAATCTGAACTTTCTATCTAAACCAATTACTGATTTACAAAATGATTCTGAAACCTTTCTAGAACTATGGGTAAGAGCTAAATTTAGTAACATTAAATGCATTCAAACTTTCCAGTCTGATTACTTGTAATACTTCAGCTATCCATGTTGTATAAAATACGTCACTTAGCTTAACAGGAACCAAGCCATTTTGCAACACAATGCCACTGCACATTGTTCTCTTTTGACAAAGGAAAAATTATTGAAACTGCTAGCAGTAAATTTTTTGCCTCATCCTGCAGATATTACACAAACAGATTATGGTTTGTTTAGATCAATGGATCATTTTTAAAAAGTTTGAATCTTAGATAATTATGGGGATGTGAAGAGTTCTTTGCCTCAAAACCAAAGAAGTGGTACCGGCATAAAATCCAATTACTCGCAGAAACATGGGTGAAAGTAGTTGAAAACTATGGACTTCACTTTAAAGAGTAATATTCAATAATGTTATAAAAATGTAAAATGAATTAAAGCTATACTTATGCACAAGTGGGTCCGTGACCTTTCGCCAGTATATATATAATGGAATTCTGGCAATGGTCAGATTATTCGCTCAAGTTACGTGAGTTTGTGGCTGCAACCACCTTACTCAACCTTCATTGGCTATTAATATAATTTTTTTTTGTCCTTTTCTTGCCTTTTCGGCTATATGGTTTTTTTTTTTTTTTTCTGGAGGGCCGGGGGTTAATACCCTTCCTAGTTTAAAGCTCCTCTACCACTGATACACGAACTCTTAATTATTTCATCATAATAATTTCTGTTTATTAGGTTGCCAGGCAATGCGTGTTTTGTACACAAGTTTGTCCACTTAGCCACCTCCTCGCCCCAGGCTTTTAAAATCAATTATACAGTTGAGAGAAGTGATAGAATCTCTTAGGGCTAGGGCCTCACTTTTCCCTCCACCATTAGGTGGACAAGACTTGTTAAGAGTTTCCCTAGTTGATTATAAATATTTTATGTAAGTATATTTGTGTTTGAGATGTTTATTTTAGTTTTTGAAGTTCGTTATTTTTTTTTATTTTACTTTATTTTTATGTATACATTTATTTATTTATATTTTCTGTAAATATGATGTGAATGTGATCTATTATAATTGTCCATAATTGAGACATAATGTAATATTTCTTAATAAAGAATAATTTAAAAAAACATAGATGTGTATCCAAGTTTATTAATTTTTCTATTTAATATGGAAATAAACGCTGTATAGATCACCTTATATTTTGTTTAATATTTATTCAATTTAACACCATTACTTGGTTGTTACAAAAGTTCTTGTGCATGAACACAACCCTAAATTCTAACTCATAATTAATCCTATAACAATGTTTTTGTTCTCACTATTTATGTCAATGTTTACTTTGATTAATCCTTCAATTCCTTGTGACTTGTGTTGGCTTTATGTGGTTATTCACATTTTTAAAGTGCATGTGCAATGTCAGAAGAAAAAAATCGTGATTCACGGTCTTTTGAGACATTACTGAAAGATAGATTTAAGCTCAAAGGCAGTGCTAAAGAAATCTGTGCCATAGAAGGAGAGTTAGTACTGCAGCACTTTGGTTTAAATGTTTCAACAATGGGAACATGACCCTTACAGATGAACCCTGATTAGGTTGCCCATCTACGCAAAGGTCATTGGTGATAATGTTCTTGAAGGTGTGGACCAGGACCCACATGCAACTACTTGTGATTTATTGGCCATAGTAGAGGCTTCTAATGCCACAGTGGCTCCTCATGAAAACATGGGAGTATAGAACTTAAGTCCAAGATCCGACCCACATAACTTGACATAGGCCCAAACCCAGCAGCGAGTTAATACTTGCAAATTTTTGACAGATAGTGTTTTTAAAAAACCTTAGCAAACATAAGCAGTGGGTATGGCCAGTTGAAGCTGCAAAACCGGAGGTTCACTAAGACCGGTTTGGTGAAAAAGTGATGCTTTGTGTTTGAGGAACTTCAAAGGCGTTTTGCATTTTAATCTTGTTCTTGATGGTGGGACAGTACTCTCAAACCTTTAATATGAACAGCTGGACAGAGTTTATGCAGATTTGATTGCAAAATACATCACTTAGCTTAACAGGAACCAAGCCATTTTGCAACACAATGCCACTGAACATTGTTCTCTTTTGACAAAGGAAAAGTTATTGAAACTGCTAGCAGTAAATTTTTTGCCTCATCCTGCAGATATTACACAAACAGATTATGGTTTGTTTAGATCAATGGATCATTTTTAAAAAGTTTGAATCTTAGATAATTATAGGGATGTGAAGAGTTCTTTGCCTCAAAACCAAAGGAGTGGTACCGGCATAAAATCCAATTACTCGCAGAAACATGGGTGAAAGTAGTTGAAAACTATGGACTTCACTTTAAAGAGTAATATTCAATAATGTTATAAAAATGTAAAATAAATTAAAGCTATACTTATGCACAAGTACTTTTGTAATAACCTAGCATTTATTTTAGTTTTTGAAGCTGCCATCATAGGACCCATTAATTACTTTGTATGACCTCAACACCCTTAATTCTTTATACAAATTCCTAATAGATTAAGGAAGTACTGTTTGGCTGCCATTAGGCGACCTAGTTCAATGATATTTTATTTATGAACTAAGTTGTTGAATTTAGACATATGTATGTTGATATGAATAGACATATCAAATTTGCAAAAATACGGAATAAAGCAATATTTCAATAAATACAATCACAAAATTTTACCAGCTGTAGGACTTAAATAATAAGACCAAAAAATTAGAAATAATGTGAGACCAAACAGTTAAAAATAAATTCCTTGTTGTCTTATTGGTATCTGGGAGATCCAATAGAAGAGAAACCTTGTTTTTCATTATATATGTTTAATGTTTTGGTCTATTTAATGTATATTTTGTAAAATAAAAGTATTTTTTTATTGTTACATTTGTTTTTGTTTACAATTTCAATAATATGAATATAATACAATAAATATGAATACAAATATATAATAATATGAATATAATACAATAAATATGAATATGAAGATATTATCAGTGACTTATCAGAATTATCAGTGTTAAGGTAATAAACATTGGCAGATAGCAGTCGGACCCAACCAACTATTTAACCAGTACCTTGAATTTTTATACAAACAAAGTTACAAAATAATAATTTATTACTAACAAGAGGATGCTACAGTCACGGATTTCAATCTAATTTATTTTTTGGTGATACTAAATTAAAAAAATATTGGAGACCTTTCTAGGCGTTTGATTCAATGGGCCCTAGGGGCCAAGAAATATTGTTTTTATATAATTTCAAACAGGAGAACTACAATTATAATATTGCTCGGCTGCTCAACTTCGTTGAGTTGCTAAACCGCACATCATACTCATTAATTGATCCGTAATATTGAAAAAGATTAAATAAAAGAGAGTTTGGTCGGATCATCGGAATACATAACAAATATGCCAAGAACAGTTCACAGAATCAAACAAATGAAGGCCAAGATCAATATATGTGGTGTTGGAGGATTCCTAAAGAGTCTAAAATAATAGTTTCCGTCATGATCTGCATCTGCTCCCTTCCAACACCAAGCCTCCAATTAAGTAATTTTTTACTTTGCTTTCCCCAGAGTTTTAGGTTACAATATGGCCAGGTAAGCGATCGCCGAAGGCTCCTGTCATAGAGGCTCCAAAGTCATTATTTTTCTAGGTTTGGTCCCAAAAATAATTGTTTGTATTTTTTTTCACCGTAGTATGATTGGTGGTGCCTCTGAGAGAACCGATGATCACTGTTGCATTTATCTAGTACCGTTATGTTGTTGCTGCATAAATAGTTGTTTCGTATTCGTTCATTTAAACAAATTTTTTGAGCCCCTCCGATGGTCCACAAACATGAATGTTTTGTACTTTTTATCGCCATAGAATGATTGGGCACCCCCTCCGAGGGCACCGAAGATCGTTGTTTTGTATTATTCTAAGACCGTCCGTGGTATGTTTGGTATGCTTTGTAATTTTTTATTGGCTATAATGAATAAGAGTTCCAAATTAAATGTTTTGTAATTTTTTCTAATTGTAGAATTATTGGGGTCCCTCCGAGGACCTCTTCCGTAGCTGTTTTTATTTTTCTAGCACTTTGGTGTGTTTGATCTCAAAAAAAATTATCTTGTATTTTTTTCCGCAAATGTTGGAGTGAAGCCTTCTTGTATGATTGGTAAGTGGCAGTAGGGATAAACCACTTCAAGATACACCTAGAGGCAGGTGAGCTGATGGAAGAATTCTTGATGGACCGAGCTGTGGAACTTCATTGATCTATAACTGCATAGTGGCAGCGGTAGTATCCATGAACTACTACCGGATTCTATCCAAAGACAAGAAAGGAAATAATAAATCAATAAATAGAGATAAACGTCCAAGATAAATTATAAACAAGAGGCAGCCAAGGTGCATTGTTATCTCCTTAGCTCCATGAAGGAACTGAGAAAAGAAACGAACTTCTTTATTTGAATAGAAAACCTGTAACTGGATATAAGGATAAGCATTGCTACCCGTTGAATCCATCATACAAAAATAAAGCATAAGATTAATCCATTTCCATTCCCTCTGATATAAGATGCGACTATTCACAGGAGAAGTAAGTACTTCACCCAATGATACAATGGAATCAAAATCAGGGCTTGAACTGTTGATTTGCCGGAGATAGGTCAGCTTGTATGGAGATGGCTTCCAGTGACAATGGATCTCACAATTTGCAGTACCTCTAACCCAATAACTTTATCTTAAGGCATTAGAAAATCTAAGAATCAAGCATATATTATAATTATTCTCGTTCCTGGTTCTGTGACCAATTTGATGCAATCAGAAATACCAGATACCGATGGGGTACCAAGGATCTTTTTTTTTTGTTCTCTCCTTCAGAGAGAGGATAAAGAAGAGCATTTCGGGCACCCCACCCTTGCTAAGAATCATAGCGTTAAAAAAAATAGACAAAATACTCAACTGAACTATGAATTCGTGTGTTCATTTATTGCCCAGCTTCAACCGATCGCCTTGCAACTGGTCAAGGGCATCATAATAAGCCTAAAATTGCTATATCTAATATAACTTTATTAAGGAATGAATAGAGGATGTCGTAGTGGTCATGTTAAATTTGTGCTTTGAGTAAATCTAGTGTCAATTAGTGTTTTTATAGAATTTTCAGGATAATTGAAACCGTTTCCAAATCAATTGTAACCTAAGCTATGTTGTGACAATGACTATTCGATGATCTTATCCATAAAAATGAGTAGTTCACTACATAGTATATGTTGGCTATTTGCCCTTATGTTTTCTAAACCTAGCAAATTATGGCGGCCAAATGGTTAATGTAATTGAAAACAAAAATCTTTGAGCGTCGAATAATTTTCTTCTCTTAAATTCATTCAGTCTTACAACAGCATCCTGTCTCCGGTTTTTTCCCACCATGTGCAACAGCGCTCGTCTATATGATATTGGTTAGAATCAAATAATTCCATGGCTAACTTTCAATTAAATCCGACGGTGATCTGTTACCTGTTCGTGGTTAATAGAAGCTTGAGATGCCACAGTGGATCAGGAAATATAATTAATAGGAATTTTTTATGATAGAAGTCAATATATCTTTAATACTGTTGTATACTATTAAAAGATATCTTATAAATAATTTACATTAGGACATAATAGGTTACATTCAGTGTATGTTATAAAGAAGAAAATTAACTCTGTATTTATCTAAAAACTGGAAATAAGTTAGAATATAACACATTTTTATTTTTAACCCAACCATATCAATACATTGAAAAATACTGCAATTAAAACATATGATGTACATTCAATCTAATACAATTAAACATATAGTTATTGTTTAGGCTATAACATTCACTCTATATTTATCTTAAAAGTAATGAATAAAAAGTTTCTCATTTGTGTCAATCTCGATTTTGAACCTCATTATTTTAACATATTTTGTATAGTATTATAGTGAAAACAATAGATTTTCGTATGAAGTGTTGAAACGCGTTTAATTATATGTTTAATTTCAAGTGATTGTTGAATTCAACAATAGTTTGTTTCTATAGCCTCTAGATGATATGCATATCGAATTCAGTTTGAGTATAGCATTTGTAAGAGCTTTGCATTTTTTATATATTTTAGACCTATAGAAATTAT